AAGATCACCGGCCCAGAATGGGCGCGAGGTGCCTGCGTGCACGAAACTGGCTGAGAGCCCTGTAACCCTTGAGAGGGTATCGAGAAATTTGTAACAAACTTCAAATACTGCCTTAATCATTCCTCGTTACGCAACTCGCCTACCACCACTGCTATTCTTCTTCTACCTTGCTTCAATTCTTCCTCCACTTGCTAGCACCCGAATGTTTGATCTGAACGCTAGCGTCCGGACGGTGCCCACACAAAGAGGGAGCGAGCGTCTCGCGCGTCAGGCTCGCGAGCGAGCGCACCAGTAGTGAGCCCACACTGTCATGGACGTCGCCCGTGCCGCCCCTGGCGTCGCCCACACCGCCAGCCGCTTTCCACGCGCATCCCATGTGCAATACCGGTCTACTTTGAAACATCCAGATGCAACAGTTGCAACATAGAAAAATAGATAGATGAAGCACTTGAAACAAGCGTCTGAAATACTTGTGAAAACGCTTGAAAAATATTTGAAAAACTTTGCAAACATATGCAATTTTTAGATAAAACACTTGCAAACATACTTATGAAACACCTGAAAATACTTGAAACATATGCTTGCAACATCCATGTATATGCAACATCTAGATCTACTTTTGCAACGTCCAGTTAAAACACTTGCAACGTACGTCTAGAACAGATGAAACATTTGAAACATATACTTGAAACATACGTGTATAGCCATTACAACATGTGCAATATCTCAATCTACTTTTGCAACATCGATATACAATACTTGCAACATATCTTTGAAACATCTAAAACACTTGAAACATACTCTTACAACATGCGCTAGTCAGGAGAACGTCAACGCCCCAACGTGCAGCCAGGCGTAGGTGTAGGCCTTCCCTTCCTAGCGCCGTGCAAGGTTGATGGAGGCGTAGGCGCAGGCTTTCCAAGGCACATGCGCATGCCTCCCTTGCCCTTTTTTTTGAGTTACGGAGGCGGAGTGCTGGCGCGCTTTGAAGCAAGCAAGCGAAATGCGGGTACGGGGCGTCCGGAGGACGGATGCCTGCGTACTATAATTAGTAGGGATGAAAACGGATCGGATACGAACGGATATCACTCATATTATATTTGTTTTCATATTTCTGTTCGGATTCGGATTCGGACACGGATAGCGTTCGGATACATATACGAATACGGATTGACTCGGTTACGGATACGAATAATGAGTATCGAATATGGTATGAATCGGATTCGGAGAAGGTAGGATATAAATATCTATTTGGATATTGAGTAAAAGCAGCATATATATATATATATCATATGTGCGCAAACCATTACACCACTCTATGAGTCCATAATCTATCTAGATTAAGCCGAAAGACTAAAGAGTAAAGCAACAAATAAGATAAAGATACAGATACATCAAACATCATACAAGCACTAATCTTCGCGGCATGAGTAGAAATAACCAAGCTCATGGCTTCATGGGTCTCATGGAGTCATGGTCATGGATTCAAGATCTACAATCCTTATATAGACCATTTTTTCATTTGAGAAAGTTTGAACAAAATGTAGTTCAAATTTCACAAGTGTGTGACATAGTTTTAGAAAGTCTGTATGAGATTCAAGAATTTGTGACTAGTGTTTGATAAAACTTTCTCAAATGGGAAAATGAGCTATGTAACAATTGTAGATCTTGCTGAGATGATCAAACTTGGTATTCAGAGTTTTTTCATCTGAGGTCATTTAGTGTCTCATTTGAGCAAGTTTGACCAAGTCAAATTTGGTCAAATGAAAAAACAACACTTTGACTCTAGTATTATGAACTATAAATGACTTCCAATTGAAAAGTTTTGAATACCAAGTTTGTTCAACTCATCAAGATCTACAATTCTTATTTTGGTCAACTTTCCATTTGAGATAGTTTGGACGGTTCAAATTTGTGATTTTTAAATTTCGATGCTTACAAACTAGTTTTCGGAACCCTAGATTGTCTCAAATTGAAAAGTTTTGAATACCAAGTTTGTTCAGCTCATCAAGATCTACAATCCTTATATAGGCTATTTTTTCATTTGAGAAAGTTTGAACAAAATGTAGTTCAAATTTCACAAGTGTGTGACATAGTTTCAGAAAGTCTATATGAGATTCAAGAATTTGTGACTAGTGTTTGATAAAATTTTCTCAAATGGGAAAATGAGCTATGTAAGAATTGTATATCTTGCTGAGATGATCAAACTTAGTATTCAGAGTTTTATACTCATTGACATGTCTTTGGTTGGTGGATGAATCATGTATCACTTAGTTATAGATTTTATTTAGGTATGTGAACAGTAAATTGCTTCTTGCTTTTCCAAGCTAAAAACAAAGGTAGGCAGAGGTAGGCTCTCCACGGACGGTAAATTACTGTATGCCTAATTATTGACATGAGCTATGAGGTAGCCTAATTATTGTATGCTATGAGGTAGCCTAATTCTCAGCAAGAAGTGATTTTATTTAGTTATAGATTTTATTGACATGAGCTATGAGGTAGCCTAATTATTGTATGCTTAAACTGTAGTAAAAAATTTATACTCATTGAATCATGTATCACTTAGTTATAGATTTTATTTAGGTTTATGCTTGTTAAATATAAATAAATCATCAGCCAGCCAGCCACAACGCCAGTGGAGAGCCTACCTCTGCCTGACACGGCCAACAAAAAGGTCCGCAGAAACTACCTGGAGTCAGCGCCTCGACGACAGAACGACTGATGCTGCTTTTATGTGACGCCGACACGATCGATCGCGGTTGTCTTGTGCAAAGAAAACACACGGCCCCCCTTCGTTGCAGAAAATGAAAAAAGAAAAGAAAATTTACTGTTATACTAGTATGGCTACTGTAGTCAGACATTGTTAAAATTTAGGGTGTAAAGTTTTAGGATGTCATATTAGGTGTCATGTGAGAGTGTTGCATGGGGTGTTCATATACTAATAAAAAAATAAATTACAGAATTCATCAGTAATCCGCGAGACGAATTTATTAAGGCTAATTAATCCGTTATTAGCACACGTGTTACTGTAGCAACACATTGTCAAATCATGAACTAATTAGGCTTAAACGATTCGTCTCGCAAATTAGTCATAAACTGTATAATTAGTTATTTTTAGTCTATATTTAATACTGCATGTATGTATCTAAACATTCGATAGAATAAGAAGTAAATTTTAGAGGAAGGAACTAACAAGACCTCGGTCAACGAGGCCTGTTTGCAAAGCGTGGATCCCTGGCTGGCTGCTATTTTAGGCCTTGTTTAGATGCCATCCAAATTTCAAGTTTTTTCACTCTCTCTCCATCACATCAATTTTTAGCCATTTGTATGGAGTAATAAATGTAGGTAAAAAAAATAACTAATTACACAGTTTAGTTGGAAATCACGAGATGAATTTTTTGAGCCTAGTTGGTCCACGATTGGACAATATTTACCAAATAAGACGAAAGTGGTACTATTTATCGGGTTAAAAAATTTTGCAAAGTGAACAAGGCGTTACTCGACGTTATTATTAAATGAATATTACACTATGAATACTTGCTCAGAGGACAAATAAAAACGCATCAGCATCAACACGGATAAAGAAAAAAATTGTAATCCCTTCAGATTGAAGGCTAACCGAACAAATCTTTGGTAAATTTTTTTTTAATTCTTTGATTCCCGATTTTTGCTCGAGTATCGGACGGACATGGGCTGTCCGACCATGTGACACAACCTTTGTTTATTAAGATCCAGTTAATTCATCATCACCTGTTCATCTCCCACTCCGCCACCCCGCCCCGCTCATCCTGCCGTTGTTCCTATCGATGCTTTGCACGCCTGCCCCGCTCCTCCCGCCGATGCTCTGCGACCCCGCCCCGCTCCTCCTGCCGCTGTTCCTACTGATGCTCCGTGCATCCGCTCCACTGCTCCTGTCGTCGTTTCGCCCACCTGCCTAACTGCTCGTGTCGTTGCTCCTGCTCCGCTGCCCGCCCTGCCCGATGACACCGTCGGCGCAAGAAGAAGTGCTGGGCCTTGGCGCGGAAGCCCTCCGGCCTCGCCTCCTACTACGGCTGCGGCGTCCCGATGCAGACGGGGGAGGAGGCCGTACCAAAATATGATGCATGTTGCAAGTGTACATTTGAAATGTTTCAGATATTTTAGAGATATGTTTCAATTGTTTCACATGAATGTTGCAAAAGTAGATCGCGATGTTGCAGTGGTTGTACACATACGTTGCAAGCGTATGTCCCTAATGTTTCATCTGTTTTTTCATACGCATGTTGCAAGTGTGTTTATCTGAATGTTGCATATGTTTCACACATATATTGCAAGTGTTTTATCCGGATGTTTGCGTACGCTTGCAATTGTTTTTGTAAGTGTTTCAGATGCATGTTTCAACTATTTCATATGTCTTTTCTTATGTTGCAAGTGTTGCATCTGGATGTTTCAAAAGTAGACCAGGGTGTTACACATGTGATACGCGTGGGAAGCGGAAGGGGGCGTGAGCAGTTCCCACGCGAGCCACGTTAGAGCGATGTGGACCCTAGCGTGGGCGCGTCAAGGTCGAGCGAAGTTCGGGGGATGCGGGCCCACGTGTGGACGCGCAAAACGAAGGTGAAACCGATTGCAGCTGCGGGCGTCCGGACGTCCGGCGCTAGTAGTGCTGTTTTTCTTTAGAACATGTCGGTTCACACGTATTTCATTAAGAAAATATT